TTTTTTTTGTTCTTGTCGATCGATTCTTTTCTTATTGTCGATATATTTTTTGTATATAACACGTATATGTTCTGATTAGTCTGTCTTTTTGTAGATGGGTACGCAATTGAAGATCTTCGTACATTACAATGGTGAATGGGTCATGAATGAGTACATAAACTTTCAAGTTTCGGGTGTATTAGTTCGTAGAAATTGCAGATTCGACAAACTATGTATATCATTCGTGCACATATACATAACATAATCATGTTATATACTACCTACAAAATAGGAAGTTGTTCGAAAGACATTACTTAAAATACACGATCAGACTTATATACAGAAGATATACACATTATATACACGACATACACAACATATATACAAAAAGATAAATCAATTTTGTCATTATATACATAATATATACAAAAAACACATTAGACTGTCAATTGTGGTTACGACAATATACTGAAAAATATACTGTATATATACGCAACATATCTACAACACAATAAAAAATGAAACGAAAAATATTCTAAAAAAACTAGAGCTTCGGCCAGTTGATCTTCGATCCGGCTCTTACCCGGTCATGAACTTCTCAGCCGCCACCCGCCAACACTACCCTACACCAACACCTCTTCAATCGACAAATAATGGGTCTCCATTCGCGGCGCTCGTTATAAATCTGGTGGCTCAAGGTCACGACTCGCTGCCCGTTGTCGGACGGCGTGGTTGCCATGAAATTGGAGCTTCGGTCGTTGATGGCCCGGGTTTGCCTGGCTGTGACTAAGGGCAGCACTCAATCGTCGGCAACTGGTGGCTCGCCGCCGGATGCTCGGGGCTGATTTGCAGAGTTTCGAAAATTCCTCAATCGACGGTAGCGACTGGTTTTAATGTGAAAATAAATAGGGTCGCTGCTTGAGAGAGACGAGACCGATTTCATGGTGGAAGAGAGTGGGGGAGAATTATTTGGAAGGTGATAAGATCTCACCATTATTCACTCAAAATTTTATTTAGGTATTTTTGCAAATAAATCTATAGATTTAGTCAATATGCTAATATTTATAAAGGGACATTATTTATGTAACAAAAATTTGTATTTATGGTGCACGATGCAATTTCCTCAATATGTTATTTGTGGAGATTGTGTGTGTGTCACATGTGTGAGTTGTGAGGACAGGAAAAATATTGAGTGTATTTGAGAGAGTGTATTAACAAAATAATTAGTGCATTTTGGTCTTGATAAGTAAAGTATTTATTTTGGTCTGTATTGTGTTCGTGTAATTACTTTGTTAATATAATAAAGTAATTACGTTATTGTCCACGTATTGTGTGTACCCAACACAACAAGTGGTATTAGAGCCAGACGAGTTAAGTCTGGCATTGGTTGAGGTACGAGTTGTTGTGTCGAGCTTCTTTGTTCGTAGTTTTGCAGTTCCGTACTGCGAAGTTTGTGTGCAGTTTAGTACTGCGAAGTGGCAAGTTGATCGATTGGAGCCACGATGGTAGACCTTCAAGTGGTCGGAGGTATGAAGAAGCTCAACAGTCAGAATTACAACACGTGGTCGACATACATGAAGTCATATTTGCAAGCCCAAGATTGTGGGAGATTGTGAGTGGCAGTGAGGTTACACCACTGGAGGACTCTGCAGCTTTGAAGAAATGAAAGGTTAAAGCTGGCAATGCCATGTTCGCTATCAAGACCACGATCGAGGAGATGCTAGAGCACATTAGAGACGCGAAGACACCAAAGTACGCATGGGACACATTCGCGGGGTTATTCTCGAAAAAGAACGACGCGCGGTTGCAACTTTTGGAGAATGAGCTTCTATCCATCACACAACGAGACATGACGATAAACCAGTATTTTGCTAAGGTAAAGTCTCTTTGTCGTGAAATCTCTAACTTAGATTCTTCTGCTGGTACGTCGGATTCTCGGATAAGGAGAATCATCATTCATGGATTGAGGCAAGAATATAGAAGTTATATTGCTGCTGTGCAAGGTTGGCCGACCCAACCTTCTCTCGTAGAGTTGGAAAATTTGCTGGCTGATCAAGAAGCGTTAGCTAAGCAAATGTTCCAAGTCTCATCCAAGAATGATGAAGAATTACTTTTCGTAAAAAAATCAAAGGTCGACACAATAAAAATTGTCACTGGAGGAAAAGAAACGACAACGAAAGAGATGAAGACGAGAGGAGTTCTCATTTAGGGGGAGCACAAAGAAAAGAAAATTTAACGGTCAACCTCAAGAAAGTAGAAAATTTGAAAGAAAATGTTATAACTGTGGAAAGAAAGGCCACATATCTAGGAATTGTTGGTCGAAGAAGAAGCCAGCAGAAGGAAATGCAATCATGTCGGATGAGGCACATATAAGTGAAGACGAGTGGGACCTTAAAGCACTGTCAGCCGTAATTGAAGAAGAAGAAGTTGGTGAAGAAGTCGAGATGGATTTAACGACAACGGTCGCTGAGCTTGTTGACTCAGATGATAAGTGGATAGATAACCCAGGAAGCTCAAAAGACGAAACAGAAGATACAAAAGAGTTATCAAATCCGGTCGAGTATAGTGAAGAGCATACGGTGACTGTTGACAATTTGATGCTGCCAATCTCCGACAGTGGTGAGAAAGAATCGGCTAAGAAAGATAGAGTTGAAGACAAGATAACAAGTTACAGGCAATTCAACAAGCATTGGATAAGAGTAGAAGATCAGTCAAGTGTCAAGAACCCACAAGCCTATAGATCAACGATAGTACGAGTACCAAGCCCAAAGCACATGAGGAAATTATTTACATGCTCAAACTTATGTGAAGATCCGTTTCTTAACGTAAGGTGGCCGAGGCCAACGAACGAGTAAAAGTCAGTGTTGAGGGGGAGTGTTGAATACAACACCTCTTAAGGAATCTTCTAGATTGGGCAAGATGATTAAAGAAACTTTGATGCTTAGATATTTTACATCAAGTGGCGCACTTAATATAATTTAATATGATTGTATTAGAATTATTACTACAATGTAGAATTATCTATAAATATATTATTTGTGGAGATTGTGTGTGTGTCACATGTGTGAGTTGTGAGGGCAGGAAAAATATTGAGTGTATTTGAGAGAGTGTATTAATAAAATAATTAGTATATTTTGGTCTTGATAAGTAAAGTATTTAATTTGGTCTGTATTGTGTTCGTGTCATTACTTTGTTAATATAATAAAGTAATTACGTTAATGTCCACGTGTTGTGTGTGTACCCAACTCAACAATTCTTTGAGGTTGTGTTTGGACCTTGAATATCAAATTTCATCATGCTTTAAAATTCCTTACTTGGATTTGAATGGATTTAAAGGAAGTGATTATAAATCCATTGTCTTGCACACTGGTGTACTCGCGGGCGCCAACTCGGGTTCACTTGCGATTGTAGGGCAGCTCGGCGCGGGTCACACGGACTCTTGTTTCGCTAGAGAATGTCTAATGCGCGAGTCTTGTCTCGGGATTGGCCCGAGATGGCTCGAGTGGTTCGGGTGGCTCGAAAATGGCTCGGTCGACTCGGCTCAATCGGCTCGACTTCCCAAACTCGACAAAATGGACCTAATCAACACCAAAAGTACGTAAGAAAATACGGCAAAATACAGAAACATATAACGAAAATAAAAACATATAAAACACGATAAAATGAACCGGTTGACACTAAAACGAACATAAAAACGACTCGACTAAATTACATAAGACACGAGAAATTAAATATAAAAACGTAACAAACTGTTTTCAATGTGTTACCCACTATGACGGTCCAATCATATGTCACCATGTTAGATATTTAAGATTTATTTGGAGTAAATAATAATATTTCTTATTCTATTTTCTTAGTTTTTTTTATATATGTATCTATATAAATATATTTGAAAATATACATAAATTATTATGTAAATGTAACTTAAATTTTATGACTTGTATTTGAATAATAATTTTATACAACAATGATTTTTTTTATGTAGGTTGACCAAATTAAGTACATAAAATATAAATCATAAACTCGAAACATTAAAAATACTAAAACAATTTAAAGGGCATAGATCTATAGCATATGTCTATTATATTACAAAATTATTTGCTTCTATATAAAAATGTATCTTAATTTTTGTCTAATGTCATATTTATAATTTAATCATCCATATAAGACACTTATTTGACCAAACTAATTAGTCAAAAATTTTTCAAATATAATAACAATAATGGATTGTAAAATCATGAAAACATTAAATCTAATAATATATAAAGACGGGAGGCATTTATTTGAAAAAAGATTCAAAAAAATCAGCAAAAAAAAAGAATCCATTTCCCGCCTAAAGTCAATATAATGAAACTAAAGATTTTTGGCAAAAAATTAAAATCTGAGCGCCATTCAACCAATTTTGAAAATTTTGAAAAAAAAAAAATAAATCAAAAAATCTAAATAAAAAGATTACATGCATATTTTTTGGAGATTCCATATTATCTAACTTTCATACAATATGAATGGGACACTTGTCCTATTTTTATTGGTCCACTATAAATTTTATATGATAAAATAAGTATAACTCAAATTATTGATATTATTTTATTTTAAAAAATAAAATTAAAAGTATCACAATTCGTATTTTTTCATACTCTATAAATAGAGACCACTCTTGATATGCTTTGGAACACAATTGAAATTATTATGTTGGGTTAAGTTGTAGATAAACCAATATCAAACAATGTATTGTAGATAATATTTATTAAATAAATAAATAAAAATAAAATAAATATTATACTATCTTTATTAAGTCACCAACTAAAAAATAATAAAAGAATAAAAAAAATAGCATATCCGTGACCCAGTTCAAATTGTGACCCTGGATCGCAACCTAGCCACAAGGAGGGAGAGAGAAAAGAGATGTGTGAAATGGGGCAAGTGTCTCATTCTTATTGGTCTATAAATTTTTTCTATAATAAGATAATTGTAACTCAAATTATTGATATTAATTTATATGGAAAAATTAAATAAAATTTTATTTTTCATTCTCTATAAATAGAGACCACTCTTGATATATTTTGGAACATAATTACAATTTCTATCTTTTCACTCTTTTTTCTTAATCGTAACTTATCAATTTTATCATATCTTTTATTTTATCATATCACAACTAAAACAATAAAAAAAAAATATTGTAGATAATATTCAATATATATATATATAAATATAAATATAAAATAAATATTATGTTGTGTTGAGTTTGGTTGGGTTTGGAATAAGGGACTATTCTACTATGCCTTTTCCAGATATGAGTAGTATTAATTCAAGTGCGAACCGTCTGGTTTTGGATGTACTTAACTATGACCGTAAGGCTCTAGCTATTGAGCATGATGCATTGCTGACACATATGACCGATGAACAGAAGGGTATTTATTCCAAAATAATGACATCTATTCATTCTGGCAGGGGGCGGTGTGTTTTTTGTGTATGGTTATGGTGGAACTGGAAAGACATACTTGTGGAGGACTTTAGCTGCTCGGCTAAGATCGCACGGTCAAATTGTGCTTTATGTTGCATCAAGTGGAATAGCATCTCTTCTGTTGTCGGGCGGACGAACTGCACATTCTCGATTTGTCATTCCTATTTCCGTGCATAAAAATTCATCGTGTGAGATCAATCAGGCTAGCCCCCCTGCCGAGTTGATTATTCGCTCTTCATTGATCATATGGGATCAGGCGCCAATGATGCATAAACATTGTTTTGAAGCTGTTCAAGCATCTTTTAAGGAAGTAATGGGAGCCCTCGACCCGACAAATCATCATAAACCGTTTGGAGGCAAGATTCTTGTGTTTGGTGGAGA